GACTTACATGAACTGATAACAGTCAAGTAAGCAGAGCCCAAAAACTAGGGAGTACAGCAATGTAAATGCAAAGAACAACCACAAAACAATCAAAAATGAAGATTGCAAAATTACAAAGAATAAGCATGGTCTCAAAGAAGAGACTCTTTTGCAGAGGTGGGAGGTCCACAGGTATGAAATATTGCATATATTTTCAGACTTTTTTAGTATTTTGATTAGTTTTGCTGATTTTTTTTCTTTTCTTCCTCTTTCAAAAAAATTATTTGTTACATGGGATGATTCTCTGGGAGGGAGAGGAGGGGTTGAATATAGGGGAGATATTATGGAGATTTAAAAAAATCAATAAAAAAAATTAATTTTAAAATGCCCAAAAGGAAAATTCAGTAAAAAAAACCCCCAAAAACCCAAACCCAAAACCAAAACCAAAGCAGACAAGCAGGATGGTTTGAAAATAAGATGTTAAAGCTATATACTTTTTTTTTTTTAGAGGAAGTGGTATGAAATAGAGATTCTTAGTTTTAATGTACAATCTTCTTATGCTCTCTTTGGAAGACAAGGTATTGAAATTCAGAATGTAGCCCATGTCAGCTCTGAGGATCTTTACCCCAACTCCTACACTCTCTGACAATTGGGGTCCTCAGAGCTTGGTTCATCATCACATCATCCCTGACTGAAACTCACCCCCCCTACCCCTGGGGCCCCTCTGATTGGACAGGGCAGAAGGTGGACAATAGTTTCTCACAGATTTCTCTATTTAATGAAGGTGCAGTGAGCAGCCATCTCATCATTCTCCACCCCCCCCCCCATTAGATTGTGAGCTCCTTGAGGGCAAGGACTGTCTTTTGCCTTTGTATCCCCAGCACTTAGCACAGTGCCTGGCACATAGAGGGAGCATAATAAGTGTTTATTGATTGACTGGCTGACTGGATCTCTTCCTCAGGATCCTAGGTGTACCCTTGATGTGTCAAGAGTGATTCTCTAGTGTTATCGTCTTGAGTCTCACTCTCTACCCTCCAGGATTGTCAGTTAAGAATAACATAGTTATACAAGCTTTTTGAAAGGGTTTTTTCCCTAAGGTAGTATAATAATAGCAGTTGGAACAAAACCATGCCCAAAGTGTGCCATGGTCTCACATAGTCTAGAGGAATGTGACCTCTAAGTCATAGAGCACACAGGGAAAGGGAGAGTTCACTGCTCTTGGTTTCTGGAAACTCCCTTCTTCCATTTTTAGGAGGCTTAGGAAGTTTTCTTTGTGAGGGATCTCTTTGTGGGAATCTTTTGTTGAAGCATGAGCTCAGTCTGTCCTCGGCTTCCTGTGATACAGACACTGATAACAGCTCTTCTGGAAAGGCCTTTTAGGCTTTCAGTGGGAAGAAGAGAAGTCCAAATTTGTCCTCTTATCATGGAAGGTACTCCTCTGGTCAAAATGGATGGGAAGGAGATGTATGCCCTCCCCCCTCCCCCCTCCCCATGCAATTCCTTCTCAGGGGACTTTCTGCTAATTTCTGGAATTTTTCTCTTCTCAGTTTCCTTGAAAATACATACATGATTAGTGAGACACACTCAACTTTCCTCAGTTTATCCAAACAAAATTCCTGAAAAATGTTATTCTTGTTTGAAGGCCTTTTCGCATTTTGTCTAAGTTCTTTTGATTGCTTGATGTGTAGTCTCACTTAGTTGAAGTTTCACTCCACTTGCCGAACTATATCTTGACTACCAATCTCTCCAACCTTGACTCAAAAGTTCTGGCCTTCTGGGGGCAACTAGGTGGTGCAGTGAATAGAGCTCTGGCCTTGGAGTCAAGAGGACCTGAGTTCAAATCCAGCCTTAGATACATACATACTTAGTAGCTGTGTGACCCTGGGCAAGTCACTTAACTTCATTGCCTAGCCAACAAAACAAAACAAAAGTTCTGGCCTTCTCAAACTTCTTTTGATCTTCTGATTCTTCTTACACCCCCCACTGTCAGCTTAGGACAAGGGCTGGGGAACCTGCAGCCTCGAGGCCACATGTGGCCCTTTAGGTCCTTTTGACTGAGTCCAAGTTTTACAGGAATCAGAGGACCTAGCTGTGAATTCCAGCTCAATCACTTACTGTACTAAGTTAGAACTACAGTCCCAGGTTTGTCTTTGAAATATTTGTAGCTTTAGCAGAGCCAGCTGGTGGCACAGTGGAGCACTGGTCTTGGAGTCAGGAAATCTTGAGTTGAAATCCAGCCTTGGCCCACATTCGACCCTCACCTGTAAAATGGGGATGATAACAGCACCTACCTTGAAGGGTTTTGTAAGGATCAAATCAGGGTGTTACTCATAGAACACATAGCACAGTGCCTGGCACAGAATAGATGCTATATAAAAATGCTTGTTCCACACTTCCCCTCCTTAGAAGACATCAGTTCTTTCTGTTGTTCTTACCTTTTTACCTTTAAAAGCAATTCAGAGGTGAGAGCTGAGCCATCCCCAGCCATGATCAACAGGCTATGGGAAAAATTGGGAAGTAGTTGAAGTCACTTTTCTGCTCTCATTTGGCTTGTTTTCCTCCTTTTTCTTCCACGAGTGGGGTTCCCTTCCTCCCCAAACACCCATGTCCCTGTTCTTTCTCTTCCCCATCTCTCTATTAAAATTTATTTCAGATCTCTTACTCACACTGAGCTGTTAAGGGTTGATAAGCAGCCTAGATGTGATTGGGACCAGTCCAAATGGTTTCATCTGCTAGATAGTGCAGTTTAGTAGAGAGGATGTGGGACCTGAATTTATGTTCTGCTGTGATACTTACTACCTGTGACTGTGAACAAGGCCCTTCAACTCTCTGAGTCTCAATTTTCTTACCCATCAACTAGGGATAGTCATACCTATGATGTTTCAGAGTGTAACAAGGGGCTGGTGAGTTCACACAGTGTGCTGGATGGTTGCAATCCCCACATGGAAGAGGCTGGGGCATCTGCTTCTAGAAAAGCATGAAGCAGGGTAATGGAAGAGTCCTACTCGCATATTTGGAGCATGCACAGTCTATAAATGGTTATGGTGAATATTGGCTATCAAATCACTAAGAGGATCAACTGAGATTGTATATGGAAAGTGCTTTGCAAAATTCAGAACACAGTAAATGTTAGCCATTGTTACTATTAGGAAAGGGGGGATTTCAGAAGTTCTTTCAAGACCCATCTCTTCATCCTCACTAGCATGTATAAACTGAACATATGCCATGTAGTCAGTACAGTGCAGCTGCTACCATGGGGCACGGAGGAAAGAGATCATATGGAAATGTTTGTCTTTGTAAAATTTCTATTTTCCCCAATACCTAGCATAGGGTTCTTTCTCTGCATGTGGTAGATTACACACACACACACACACACACACACACACACACACACACACACCCCCATATGTATATATACATATAAAATTTGGAAATTAATGTTCTGCCTTATGTATTTCTCCTCACCACATAAACACACGCTCCTTTCTTTGCCCCATTTCCTCAGGTGTGAGTTAGAGAAAAATGACCTTGGGAAACTAATTTCATCTCTCTGAGCTCTGTTTCCTCATATGAAAAGGGGGCATTTAAGCCTATGACCCCTCCTAGAGGGATTTAGCAATGTAATGGGAATCAAAGGTTAAAGCCTTGATTCAAGTGTGGCACAATGGAAAGAAAACTGGGTTGGAGTCATATTGGGACATAGTTCCTCTGCTTTGCTCCTGTGTGATCTCTATTTCCCTGTGTGACCTTGGGCAAGTCTCTTAAATTCTTCAGGACTGAGTTTCTTCATCTGTGAAGTGGGGGTAGTGGATAAGAAGGTTGATTAAGGTGGTTTCTTCTGGCTTTAAATCTATGATTCTAAGGGGATGTTATGGATTTCAGGCATCACTCAGAGGGTTTTGTCATTCAATCAATAAGCATTTGCTAAAGTACCTCCTATGTGCCAGGCACTGAGGATAGAAAATCCCTCCCTCAAGGAGCTCACCTTCTACTGGGGAAGAAAACATAAATACAAGGCAATTGGGGGAATGAATGGGACTTAGGGGAACAACAGGACCTTTAAGAAGTTCCTGAAATCATACCACATGGATGTTCACTAACTCTCCCTATGGATAAGACCCATGATTTATGAAGTTGTGTGAGGTCACAAAATTAGTCAGAAGGGTGCTTAGTGATCGTCTAGTTCAACCTCCTTACTTTACAGATGAGGAAAGTGAGTTAGACCTAGGTTTCCTAGGTCCGAATATAGCACTCTTTTCACTAAACCATGCTACAACTGTTTTTATTTTAGTAAGAAATTGGCTTGCTGCTATGGGGAAATTCTTCTATCCAAAAATCACAGAAAAGAGCTACTATCCATATGACATATATCCTGGGAAGACTTTGGCAGATTTACTTATTGTAGCTTTAAAAAAAAAAAGCTAATGTGATCTTAGATTATCTTAATTATATTGTCCACAACAAGGTTCGTCAGGGTTGTACTGTATATTTGCCCTGTCCTGGTGAGAACATGGAATAATACTAATTTTATTTGTTGGGGACATTTTAGAAGGTGAATCACCAAACTAGAGGATATTAAGAAGACATCAGTCAAGATGGTAAAGGGATCTAAAATCAATATGAAAATTTAAATATACTTTCTCAGATATCAAGACTGTCTATATCCTAAAGAAATAAATTGATAAGCAATTTTAATACTGAATACATATACAGAACCCACACAGAGCACTTGACTGCTAGAACGAATTTGTAGTATCATGCCAATTCAGAAAATAGATTCTAAACTAAGTATATTCAAGCATAAATGAAAAATAAGTTTTAAACAGGCAAAAGAACACATTTTTCAGTTGTTTAAGGAAAATTGTGAACTTTACTGAAGACAAAAATTATAGATGAAAACTGTTCATAGTATATTACAAATTAAAGATGTCAGACTGATGTACAATAGAAAATTTACTTATACATTTAAGGAAAAGAAAATCTATCTTCTCTTAAAATGAATAGATTCAATTAAAGGCTAATCATGGGTTCACTGTAATATTAAGAATGTTTAACATTTTTATATTATCCTGTAATAACTCTTTAATGGTATTTCCCTTTTTTGTTGGTTTCCACAAAGTATTGCTTCCATCATATTGAATACAGTAGTAGCTTTCCCTTGAAGATCAAATGGAATATTAGTCATATTTAAGAATACAGTTAGCTCAGACTTGAAATCATATAAGAAGTTAATAAATAACCTAATTCTTTCATCATTATCCTTTTCTTTTGTTAACTTCTGAGGCTTATGCCCACTGCTGCTTCCATCTACTAAGGAAAAGCTTTGGACTAGATACTTTTGGGCAGATTCAACATCATCTTTGAATTCTATGTGGCGTTTTGCATTTTTCAGTGCACGTTTTATCTCCTTATTTAGGTCTCAGATTTTTTGCAGAATTTGATCTTCCATCACTTGCTCCTTATTCTGCTGGTCTTCGGCTTCCTCTGATGGCTCCAAGATCCCTGTTCCTAAATTGTGCAACTGTGTTCCTGGGTAGTCCATGACCGACGGGGCCACAAGAGCCATTTGTCCTACTATGACCCTTTTCCCTGGGGTAGCTAGTTTCACTTGTTGGGAAGCTTCTTCAATGAGTTTCAAAGCTGAGTCCAGAGACAGTTTATGATGCAATATGGCAGGTACTTTTTGGACTAGTTTAGGAGCTACTTTCACAAGTGGTTTGAGAATATGCTTCTCTAACACTTTCTTAGAGGGTCCCTGGGTAGGGTCCATAGCCACTTGCACAGCTAGCTCCAGAGTTGAGGCCACAGATTTCTTCATTGGTGGATCCTCAGGTGCGTTTTCCTCACTATCAGATTCATCAGTCTCTAAAACACTACTGTCATCATCCTCCAAATCCAAGTTCTCCATATCTGAGTTGTCCAAATCCTCGTTTGTATACTCTGCGTTTTCCTCTATGTTGCCAGGTGCCTCTGTGCCCATGTTGATTGTCCTCTCTTGCTCTTTTTCGTCCTGCTCCCTGGGTTGCCGGATGGAGTTCTCGAGCCCCAGATTTCCCTTAGACCAGGCTGTCTGTTTCATCAAAGGCACCTCATGTTTGGTCTTGTTAGACTTACGAGACTGCGAAGTCAGGAAGAGCGGGCTTTTCAGGAACTCCTCCTGGATCTGCACGGTGCCTTCCTTGATTTTCTTCTCCTTGTCAGAGCTGATAGTAGTAGCTTGCTTCTTGCCCCGGATACCCTGGGTGGGCACTCTCAGGGCCATTTGTTGTAGGATTTCAACATAGTGCTTCAGGATGCTGTCTTCCTTGCTCAGGTCATTCAGAGTCAGCAGCCGTGGGTAGGCCACTTCTGATAGGGGCCAGAGCCATAGCATGGGTAAAAGCACTGCTGCCTTGGCACCCATCTTCCCTGGCTGTCTGCAGACCATCACAGCAGGGCTCAGGGCCGTGAGTGAATCCTCACGACCAACTGACCAGCTGCACCAAGCTTCAGCAGTCTAGTTGTCTAGTTGCCCTAGACAACTGAATCGTTGGCGCCCCAGTGTGTGCAGCCACTACGGGCACCACGGCTGCGAGAGAGGGCTGAAGAGCAACACCAATCTCGCTCCTCTAGCCTCGGCTCGAGTCCCTCAGCCTGACTGGCCCGCCCTCCAGCAAGGCCTGCCCCTCCCTGCCCGACTAGGAGCAGAGAGGAAGTGTACTTGCCTCTGCTCTACTCCACTTTCCTTTCCCTCCCTTTCCTTTTCCAGTGAGGGCAGTCAGCTCCCAGAGGGTGACACCTCACCGATGCTAGCCACCAACAGACTCACACTCAAACCCTGGGTTCTACTGTATCCAGGCTGTGCTGCGCCATAAAGGGAGGCGGGCCCACGGAGAGGGGCGGGGACAGGGAGAAAGAGGGACTGGCTTAACCAGAGAGGGAGGAGTTCAGAGCTGGAAGGCGTGTTAGAAGGCCGCCAAATTTCACAGGTGGTTAGACGTGGCCAAGCTGAGATTTAGATCCATTCTTATTGATGAAGAGGAAGAGTGAAGAGACAGGCCAAGCTGAGATTTAGATCCATTCTTATTAATGAAGAGGAAGAGTGAAGAGACAGGCTGAGGAAGGGGCAGGGAAGGGAGTTCTTTAAAATAAGAGAGTGAGATTTTCTAGTTTGGGCTTCCATGGAAGAAAAAAGAGAAGGAAGAACTTGAGGCAAATAAGAAAGAAAAGTAAATTCTGCATTCAGAAGAGGAAAGGATGTCACAGTTTGAATTGGGGGAGAACAAATTTGGCAAAATTTGGGAAAAATTGAGAAAAACCTGAAGAAAAATATGACCATGTCACTCCCCCTATTCCATAAACTCTTGTGGCATTAGAATAGGCAAAGAAGAAAAAAAGCTATCACTCTTTGCAGAGGGTATGATGATATACTTAGAGAATCCTAGGGACTCAACTGAAAAACTACTTGCAATAATTAACAACTTTAGCAAAGTTGCAGGATATAAAATAAACCCACATAAATCATTGACATTTCTATATATTACTAGCAAAACCCAGCAGCAAGAAATATAAAGGGAAATTCCATTTAAAGTGACTGTAGACAATATAAAATATTTGGGAGTGTATCTGCCAAGACAAACCCAGGAACTACATGAACACAAGTACAAAACACTTTTCACACAAATAAAGGCAGATCTAAATAATTGGAAAACATCAGTTGCTCATGGGTAGGCTGAGATAAATATAATAAAAATGACAATTCTACCTAAGCTAATTTACCTATTCAGTGCCATACCAATCAAACTCCAAAATATTTTATAGAGCAAGAAAAATAATAACAAATTTCATCTGGAAGAACAAAACGTCAAGAATAGCAAGGTAATTAATGCAAAGGAAAGTGGCCAGCCATACCAGATCTAAAACTGCATCATAAAGCAGCAATCATCAAAACTACTTGGTACTGGCTATGAAATAGAGTGGTGGATCAGTAGAATAGGTAAGGTACACAAGACACAGTAGTCAATGGCTATAGTAATCTACTGTGTGATAAACCCAAAGACTCTAGCTTCTGGGATAAGAACTCACTATTTGACAAAAACTGCTGGGAAAACTGGAAAGTAGTATGGCAGAAACTAGGCATAGACCAACATCTTACACCATATACCAAAAGAAAGTCAAAATGAGTACACAATTTAGACATAAAGGCTGATACTATAGACAAACTAGAAGAGCAAGGAATAGTTTGCCTGTCAGATTTATGGAGAAGGGAGGAATTTTTTTTTTTTGTAATTTCTTTTTTAATTTTAATTTAATTTAATTTTTTAATTTTTAACATGTGTTTTTAAAACTTTGGGTTACAAATTTTCTCCCTTCCTCCCTCCCCACCCACCCTCATTGGAAAGGCAAGCATCTTGATACAGGTTATAGATGTGTAATCATGCAAAACACTTCCATAGTAGTTATGTTGCAAAAAACTAAGTATATTTCCCTTCATCCTATCCTACCCCCTATTTATTCTATTCTCTCTTTTGACCCTGTCCTTCCTCAGAAGTGTTTGCTTCTGATTATCCACTTCCCCAATCTGCCCTCCCCTCTATCAACCCCCTGCTCTCTTGTCCCCTTCCCCTTCCCCCCTTATTTTCCTGTAGAGTAAGAGATTTCCATACCCCACTGTGTATGTTATTCCCTCCTTAAGCCAAATCTTATGAGAATAAGATTCACTCATTCCCTCTCACCTTCCCCCATTTCCCCTCCACTGTAAAAGCCTTTTCTTGTCTGTTTCATGTGAGATAATTTACCCCATTCTACTTCTCCCCTTCTCCTTCTCCCACTATAATCCTCTCTCACCCCTTAATTTTATTTTCCAGATATCACCCCTTCATCTTCAACTCACCCTGTGCCCTCTATCTATCTATGTATACATACATTTAATTTTTTCCCTCCCGCTACCCTAATACTGACGAAGGACTCATGAGTTACAAATATCATCTTTCCCTGTAGGAATGTAAACAGTTCAACCTTAATAAATCTCTTATGATTTCTCTTTCCTGTTTATCTCTTCCAAGAAAGGAGGAGTTTATGACCAAACAAGAGATAGAGGACATTCTGAAATGCAAAATGGATAATTTTGATTACATTAAATTGAAAATGTTTTTCACAAACAAAGCCAATGCAACCAAGATTAGAAGGGAAGCAGAAAGCTGGGAAACGATTTTTACAGCCAGTGCCTTTGATAAAGGCCTCATTTCTGAAATATATAGAGAACTGAGTCAAATTTATAAGAATACAAGTCATTCTCCAATTTACAAATGGTCAAAGGATATGAACAGGCAATTTTCAGGTGAAGAAATTAAAACTATCTATAGTCATATGAAAAAAATGTCCCAAATCACTCTTCATTAGAGAAATGCAAATTAAAACAACTCTGAGGTACCACTTTACACCTATCAGATTGACTAATATGACAGAAAAGGAAAATGATAAATGTTGGAGAAGATGTGGGAAAATTGGGACACTAATACATTGTTGGTGGAGTTGTGAACTGATCCAACCATTCTGGAGAACAATTTGGAACTATGCCCAAAAGGCTATAAAAGTGTGCATACCCTTTGATTGAGCAATACCATTTCTAGGTCTGTATCCCAAAGAGATCATAAAAAAGGGGAAAGGACCCACATGTACAAAAATATTTATAGCAGTGTCTTTTGTGGTGGCAAAGAATTGGAAATTGAAGGGATGCCCATCAATTGGGGAATGTCTGAACAAGTTGTGGTCTATGAATGTAATGCAATACAATTGTTCCATAGGAAATGATGAGCAGGTGGATTTTGGAAAAACCTGGAAAGTCTTACATGAACTGATGCTGAGTGAAGTGAGCACAACCAGGAGGATATTGTACATAGTAATACAACATTGTGCGATGACCAACTTTAGCTCTTCTCAGCAATGCAATGATCTAAGACAATTCCAAAAGACTCATGATGGAAAATGCTATACACACCCAAAGAAAGAACTATAGAATCTGAATGCTGATTGAAGCACACTATTTTCTTTTTTTTTCTTTCTCATGGTTTTTCCTTTTTGTTCTGATTCTTCTTTCACAACATGGCTAATGTGGAAATATATTTAATATAATTATAACATGTATAGCCTATATCAGATTACATGCTGTCTTGGGGAAAGGGAAAAATTTAGAAGTCAAAATCTTATAAAAGTGAATGTTGAAAACTAAAAATAAATAAATTTAATTAAAAAAAAAACCTCTTGTGGCTCCTATCACCTACAGTATCAAATACAAACTCCATTATTTAGCACTTAAAACCCTTCAAAACCTGCCCATTTGTCTTATGCTTTGTTGTCTCCCTCCTTTCCTTGACTACACCAAATTCTACAGTACAGATGCACTGGCCTATTTGTTGTTCCTGTCACAAGACATTTCATTTCCCAACTCTGTTAATTTGTGTTAGGTATCCTCTCCTGCTTATAATAGAGTTAGGTGGCACAGTGGAGTGCTAGGACTGGAGTCAGGAAGACTTGAGTTCAAATCCAGCATCAAGCACTTACTAGCTTAAAGGAAGCTGGGCAAGGAAACCTGGACAAATCATTTAACCCTGTTTGCGTCAGTTTCTTTATCTGTAAAGTGAAATGGAGAAGGAAATGGCAAAACCACTCCAGTATCTCTGCCAAGAAAACCTCAAATGGGGTTGTGAAGAGCTGGAAATGGCTAAACAATAACTTGCTTGTAATGCTCTCCCTCCTTACTTCTGCTTCCTGGCTTCCCTGTCTTTTCTTTTTTAAGACAGCACAAATATGGAAGAGAGGAAAAAGAAAGTAAAAGCAGAAACTGTCTCTTCCTTTCAAGTCTACAGAGTTCTTCTGTAGGAGTCTTTTTCTTTATTTCCCCAGTGCTTAGTCAATTCTTGTTGACCTTAAAATTAAGTTTCATATTTTAATTAAGTATGAAATTTAAAAGGAAAACTAACGGGTAAAGAGGAACTTTTGGGAATAATGATCTCACTATTTTAGGTTTGGTTATAGTGAAGGCTGACCTGCTTGGAATATCTGCTTAGTGAGATCCTTCTCCTCCTTTAAGTGAGAGATTATCCAGTAAGTTTCAGAGAATGAAGTGGTTGGGGATTCTCAGCTTCTATTAAAAATCAAAGAAGATATTGGAATGCAATATTCCAAAAGTCAAAAGGGACAGGCTTACAACCAAGAACACCTTACTTGGCAAAGCTAAGCATAATCCTACAGAGGAAAAAAAAAAACAGATCTTTAATGGAATAGAAAACTCTCAAGAATTTCTTACAAAACATTAGAGCTGAGTAGAAACTTTGAAATGTAAACATAAGAGTCAAGATTAACTTAGAAAAGTAAATGTATTTAATCAATTGGAAGGAATTGTAGATGATGTAGTGCTAACAT